GACAATGACCATCATTAAGTTAGTTTTTTTTTTTTTGTGATATCATCATTATCAAAGAGTTATCTATAAAGATGTCTAAAATTGTCATTTGAATGATGATAGTGTGACAAAAATAACCAGATGTATGGTTTCATCAATTATACTCCATCAAACAAAATCATACTACTAATACGCTCTGCTATTTACAACTAATTTTACTTATTTTTACTATTGCTATATCTTCCAATGCTTATTTTGATTTACAACAAAATATTTATTAACAAAAATTTGATAAATTAATCAATTTAATCACTTTTATTTTACTAATAGCAGCTATTTTTAAATGAAATTATTAATTAATTCAATTCCAATTCAGTAATTTCCACATGTATATTCTTCCATAAGTTATATTTGGAACAAATATATTCAAATGAAATTGATTAGATGAAGAAAAATTGGTTTATAGGAATAAATTGCAATAAAAGTTATTTCGTTTTGACTTTCAATTTTTTTCCACTTTTTTAATTTTAATTTTTAATTTTTTTCAAATTTCCAATTCCTTTTGTTCAATTTTTCTTTTTAATTTTCAATTTTTTTAAATTTCCAATTTATTTTTTCAATTTTTTCTTCAATTTTTCTACTGATATATTTTATCACTTTATCACAATATCATTCTGATAAAGTTACCATATCTCATAAACTATTTCAAAAGGCATTCTTACAGTTTCAGTCATTAAATCAATCTATCAACAAATTTTTATTAAATTAAATTGTTTGATCAGTGGACTTTTTTAAAAATATATGAAATCCATTTGTATTTATACCAATTTCCATCACTATTTCATATAAAATAATATCTCAGCTAATATCGTTTCTTTTTTTTTTCAATTCGTTTATGAAAAATGTCGAAAATCGAAAAAAAAAAAAGGAGGGTAGTAAATCAATTGGACTAGTTGAATGTAATGAATATTAATTCAATTATTCCATGAAAATTTAAAATTTAAATTTATCAGGAAAAGGAATATGATAGAAATATTAGCTTTAGAATAACCAAAACATTCACTTTTCCTATTTAAATCCGTAATTTTCCATATCAAATGATTAGTATAATTTAGTGTCACGTTTTACACTATTATTACTTACACTGATAATAATGCAGAAAATGTTGTTATCATTAATATCAGTACTAATCCTATTGTTATCTAAATCAGTTATCTAATTGTTATATTAAACGTTTATACTTCATTTATTTATAATCATTCATCATATCTCAATTCAATTCAATTGTTGTTTCGCTCAGTTGCAAATGAATGCTTTATAATTTCATTTTTTGAATTTTAAATTATGAATTATTTTATCCAATTTTGCCTTTTTTATTCATCATAATCCTTTATTTCTTAATCGTTATTTTTTTTCTTTTATTAAAATTATGACATCATCATGATGAAATTTGAATTAATTGGAACATATCGGTGATATTTCATTTTTCAATAACTCATCAAATTTCATCCTCGAAATTTCTTTCTTCCCATTGGTGTTCTAATAATTGTTGTCGCTGTTACTGCTGTTGATTGTTGATCATTGTTGCTATTGTTGTTGTTATTGTTGTTGTTGTTGCTGCTGCTGTTGTTATTATTGTTGTTATTGTCGTTGCTGTTGTTGTTATTGTTGTTGTTGTTGTTGTTGTTGTTGTTATTGTTGTTATTGTCGTTGCTGTTGTTGTTATTTTTGTTGTTGTTGTTATAGTTATTGTTGTTGTTGTTGTTGTTGTTGTTTTTATAGTAGTAGTAGTAGTAGCAGCAATTGTTATTGTTGTC